AACCGTTTGGATGCTTGAATCGACGAAAATCGACGCATTTAATTTTCAAATATGTTTCACGCCATTATGATGACAGCCATTGATGCCTTCATTTGGACTACATTTTGCAATGAGGAGCTGATATTTCTGGCTCATCTGGACCACCTATCTGGTTAGCACTCATGTTTTTTTCCAAAATTAACCAGAAATTATAGTTCCTAGTTGCGCGATGAAATCTACTTGAAGTATACCTGGACTTGGACATTTTTCCCGTCAATTCTAATTTTAGGAATTTCTCACCATTTTCGCCCCATTGAAAACGCCATATTACATGACTCCTTTTATGACGTCAACAGCGGCGTATCATCGTTGTAGAAATCAAGAGATACGTTTGTTTTGAAATAACGCGAGTCCTCATTTTTCCAGAACATAATATGGGTTGTTAGTCAAAAGCAAGTTGCCATACGTTGGCGTGCATTTTCGCCTTTTTTCCTTATTCTCGAAATTCCATAACGAAACGTCTGTGCGTCGCGTCGTCCGGGCCGACTCCTCTGTGGCTCCACTGATGTAACAGCGTAACTCGAATCGCGCATGAGCCCCAGAATACATGGGTTTATATGTGGGACAAGGCTCACCTGGAAATTGAGATAGGTGTTACGTCCACGGGGCGACGTTCTGTGGCTCCGTTTGACCATGCACAACCACCAATACCTAATTACACAACTGTCTCATAATAACTGCCATCAAAACAACACTCATTCATTCTTTCAGCATTTCATTCCTACAAATACAATTCGATACAGTTATACATACATACAATACAGCACATATACGATGATGCATACATACAATTTGAATCAAAACCCTCCTTTTAAAGTCATTTTTTCCTAAAATTATTGACCCGGTTCCAATTTCATTCTCTAAGAGTGACCATTCACAGGTTTGAAAGAGACGCTCTTGTAGATAAGCTCAAAATTGAGTTACTACCACCGCTTCTTGCAATTTTGTTTTCAAGACGTTTTGATGCAAAAAACGCCCAAAATTAGCAAACCGACCAGAATTTGGGTGGTATGATTTGCCGTTTGAAAAAAAAAAATCGTTTATAGAAAAAAAAACCTTTAAAAGTGTTAGTTTCCTTGCTCGGAACTCAAAATTGTTTGATTTATCAGCAAAATTATATACCGGTATCCCCTCATGAAATATTTTCAGAATTTATGAGGAAACTCTATTTTGGATTTGTTGGGTTTCCGCATGGATTAACCTTTCGTTGTTAGTGGATTGAACTTTTGGAGTGATTCTTTTTTTAAAGAGGTCGTGAAATTTTCCTGATAGTGTGATTTATGACTATATTTTAGCTAATTTGCTTTGAATTTTTTGAGATTTCTTAATATTGGTCAGGCCTTCCATCCACCTACAAACGCGATTTTTTAAATCAAAATTTTGGATCTTTCATCTACTCTTCGCATATAGAATAGAGGTCTTCTAGAGGCAAAATCCCCCCATCCCCCCCCCAAAAAAAATAATATTTTTTTTTATGTCTTGGGAGTTCCCTGGTAAAAATTGGCGATAAGAGCTGCGTTTCAAAATACCATAGGAATTCCTATAGCCGGCTAAAGAAGGCTACAGAAAATCATACAGCTGGCTGTAGAATGCGGAGAAAATCATACGGCCGGGCTATACGAAGCGATAAAAAATTATGCAGCCGGGCTATAGTTCCTATCGCCAGGCTTTACACTTTATCGCCTGGCTGTTGCTTTTTCGACATCGATTATAAATAAAAAGGCTATAAGAAATTGTGTAGAAATTCGTGTGCTTTGGAAATCATTAAGTTTGATTCGGAACCACCTTAATAATTACAAAACACACATTATATTTTCCTTTAATACATATTTTTTTTCATCAATTAAAATGAGAAATAATCCATACAGAGTGTGCAAACATTTCAAAGTCATGAGTTGAAAAACGCTGACTCCATGAGATTAAATATTAGAGCCTAACACAAAGCGGAGCGGCGGCGCCTACAAACCTAACAGGGATACTTCACGCATTGCGCAATGCGTGAAGTATCCCTGTTAGGTTTGTAGGCGCCAGTGCTCGTTTCGAGCTGGCTGCCCGCCCGCCGCGCCGCGCCGCCGCAGCGCAGCGTACCACGGCGCTTGAAGCAACTATTTCACACCAGAAGTATTGCACAGTATCATACGAAATTGAGGGCGCTCCAACATATTAAGAATGGCAGGCATCCTTCAAAAGTACGGGGCTTTCCGCGCAAAATAAATCAAGATACTTCGGCCCAAAAAGAGAGCAGTATTCCAAAAACTCACTAAGTCCTAGCATCCGTAATTAGTAACGTTTAGCATACACTTTATCGCCTGGCTGTGAGTTGCTTAATCGCCATCGGCTATAAAAGGCTATAAGAAATTGTGTAGCTGGCTATAGAAGCTATTGGAAATCTTACAGCCGGCTGTAGGTCTATGATATTTTGGAGCACAGATTCTACTGCCAATTTTTACCAGGTTTAGCATATACTTAGCACTCCAAGGGACAAAATATCGCGCTTAAAGCGTTTTCTTAAGCTCTCTGACCCCCTAAAACGTTCACTTTTTTCCTAAGTTCTATCGTTCTACTGGACCGATTTCCATTATTTTAAGCTGCCATTGATGGANAAATCAGTTTTACGGCTCTTTCCCGATGGATTAGCATGAAATTATTTGATATTTCAAGAATCTAATGAAAGATTCCTTTTCATCCAGCTGAAAACCGCCAGGATATCGAATTTCATGCAAATCCATCGGGAAAGAGCCGTAAAACTGATTTCCCGGCATTTTTCCGCCGCCATTTTGGAATTTGTCAAAATTTCAGATATTCAATGAAAGATTCGTTCTTCTCGTGCCGAAATACCCCCAGATACCAAGTTTCATGCAAATCCAACGATATGCAGCCTTAATATCTACTTCCTGCTCTAGGCCGCCATTTTGATCGCCACCATTTTGCAAAGGACTGACTTTTCTGGAAAACCAATGCCAGAATCGTTTTTCTCATCTCAAAAAACCCTAGGATTCCGAGTTTCACACCAATCCGTCAATAGAGGACGGAGATGCCAAATGTCCGCCATTTTGAACTTTGACCGGCCGCCATTTTGTCAAAAATGAACATTTTGACCTGCAGTTTGCGCCAAAAACTTTCTTTTTTTATTATCTTTCGAATGAGGTATCACAAAGGGGGGGTTGCCATTTGAAAAAAAAAAGTTAGCCCCCGCCCCCCTTAAGGGGGGCCGCCCCCCAAAATTTTGGGGGGACCAAAAAGTTGCTACCTTAGACCGAGGAACATTCCCAAAGTTTCAAACTTCTATCTCAATTTGGAAAAAAGTTACAGGGGTGGTCAGTGACTTTTGGATAACCCTGTAGAAGCTATTGGAAATCTTACAGCCGGCTGTAGGTCTATGATATTTTGGAGCACAGATTCTACTGCCAATTTTTACCAGGTTTAGCATATACTTAGCACTCCAAGGGACAAAATATCGCGCTTAAAGCGTTTTCTTAAGCTCTCTGACCCCCTAAAACGTTCACTTTTTTCCTAAGTTCTATCGTTCTACTGGACCGATTTCCATTATTTTAAGCTGCCATTGATGGATAGTCCTGAGATGAGCCGGCTCTATTTAGATTTTGAAAATATGACCCAAATTTCTGTATATTACATGATAAACTTGTACACTTTCCAATTTAAAAGGTGTAAATTTTCATTTTTTGTCACGCTTTGTTCTAAAAATCTACCGGCACAACAATCATGATTTTTGCGGCCCTCAATAGAAGATCGCCCCTGGATAAGCCGGTTCTTTTTAAAATAATCCACGGGGCCGACCAGAGACAATGAGAGACGCCTCTCGGCGACAGGATGAAACACTTATTACCGAGGATTTAATACTTCCTTATGGACGAGTATATGGGAGCAACAGTCATCTTGCCTGCTAAGTAGATGATGATCTTCGAATGACTTCACGTGCCAAGCACGTTTACCAAACTTCAGTTTGCGTGTGGAACGAAGTATTCAAACGGTGTCAAAACCCCGTATGGCACGAATCAATCTTGGATCTCGAATTTTGGAGGGCATTTATTTGTTTTGTAGTTTCCACATGAAACAGAGAACCAATTTTTTTTCAAAATTGAAAATTTTTGGGAATTAGTTCTTCAAAATAGAAAAACCTAATAAAACTTTGCAAAATCATGCCACAGAGGAAATATTGAATTTTTAAAACAAAAATACGTTGTTGCGAATTTGTGAAGCTACGCCGTAGAGAGTTACGCATCCACCTAATATAGTTAGGTCAACAGTTCTGCCGTGCTAAGCAAGAACGCCGTAAATCCATCAAAATGTTCCCGCGTTTTTTGGAAGTTAACACTTTATGAAATAAAAACGTTTTCACCCATGCACCTCAAACTTGCAGGTTAAGATTTTGATAATATTTGCGGAAAAATTCCGTAAAAATATTGTTCCAGGGTACACATGTTTTTCTGCTATGATACGTTGTCTCCAAAAAATGTAAATAGCGTTTACGGCGTTTTTGCGTCGCACAACAGAGTTGAACGTTGGAATCCTGAAAAGAATATAAGCTTCCACTATTACCAAGGCATCAATGAGAGTCTCTCTTTGTATCTGGGGCTCGTAGAGGGCACGAAGGACCCTCTAGGGTTATGCCACGTGGCGGAGCACAGTGGAGCAAGCTGATAGAAGAGGTCAGACAAGGAACTTATGGCCAAAATTTCAAATTTTTGTTGTTTATTTCGTCACAAATTCAATTTCAAGGGGTGTTTCTGAAAGGAAATTTCACAAAAAAAACCCAATGAAACCACCCTCAAACTTTTTTGTTTCGTATTTTTGAAAAGATAAGCTTTCAAAGTTTCCAGATTATGTCCGACTTCTCCTATTGACTCGATCCCATGTGCGAAAAGGGGGTGTACGGCCCATGAAGTACTCAAATATGAGTGGAGCTTACTAATAATCCATGCTTTTTGTTTGGTTAACAGTTAGTAGCGGGTAGTGGAACGACTCAGGACAAGGACGAACAGGAGAACGCGCCGCTGGACTCGGGAAGCGCAGCTCAATCGGTGCCGAAAGAAGACGGTTACAGCGCCGGCGTCCCCGGACCCTTGACCAGGCTCTTCGTCATCGCCAACAGGGGCATCGCCAACCTCATCCAGGACCTCATTCTGGTAAGACACCTCTCTCAAGGGCAAACACCTCAGTCAATTATCCACGCAATGATAACGCAAATCCGCAACATTGTTCCTTCACCATTTAAACCTATGGAAATGTATCTGTCGCAGGCAAAAAGTCAAATCAGGCATTTTGTCAAATGCCTAGGCAAATAGTCAAATATTCTAGCTAAGATTGAAATTCTGTTTCTTTTCCTAATTTTAGACAAAATAATTAATTAACCCCGAGAGAAAAAATTCTCAGTAAAAATTTGCATCACAAAATAGTATTTCAAACGATTTTTGGCTCCTGAGTAGACACTTATCTTGAAATTTTCAGCATGTTAAAGAATACAGTATTTTTAGGATTTCAACATTAAAAAATATGAGAAGCAATTTAAGAGGAAGAGACAAAAAGAGTTTGTAGGTTTGATGAGATATTTTTCCACAAATATTGAAAACTCGTGAGCTCTTCGCCATAAATTCACGAAATTTTGTTGGCACTCAAAATTTAGCTATTTGCCTAGGCATTTGGCAAAATGCCTGATTTCACTATTTGCCTGTGACATATCGACTCTTTGAGGGGCCAGGTATTCCGACAAGAATCGATTTGCAACATAGGTTTAAATGGAGGAAATCCGGTGTTGCAAAATTACTGGATCCGCCTCTGGTAAAACCTCTGCTGTTAGGTTGCAGTGTTTGATACAAAAAAAAAGAACAAGTATTGAAGGATAACTGGACTACATCTTGCAATTAGGAACTATAATGTCTGACTCAGTTTAGAAACAACGTATGTACCATCAGTTTCCTTATGCACGTACGTGTTTTTAAAGATGAGGCAGAAATTATAGTTCCGAATTGCAAAATGCAGTCCAACTGTAAGATTTATAGTATACGAGGAAAAAAAGAAAGAGAGACAAAATTACTAAAATGCTTATTAGTAAAGAAATTGAGGGAAAAGTCCCTTGCCGGATTTCCAATGGGTGGAGTTTTAGTTTAGAAAAAAAGCAAAGGGTGAGGTGGACCCAGGTCTAGCGCGATTACGGCGTTTTCAAAATCGTGCAATTTTTTTTTCTTTTAAAAATACTTAATATAATTATGCACTGTATTAAAAATTTTATAATTATTTCCCTTTAAAATTAACAATTTTTGGTCGGAGGCAAAAAGTATTAGCATTTTGAGAGATTTTTTAGATAGTTATGAAGAAGCAACATTTTTAGAACACTATAATTGCGCTGGTTCCTTTTTGCTAAATGCGATCCAACTTATGAGAAGCTATCGTTGTTGTCGGTATAGAATTTATTTCATTGTTATGAATTTATTGATTTTTGTCAGAATTTCAGCTTATTTAAAATAAATATTTCAATTTCTTTAATTGCTACGAAGCTTACGATTAATTCATATTTCATCTCATTACAGCGATTGGCTCAAACCAGTGAAAGGATCGTCAACTTCAAGGCCAGACTCATCACATCTATCATCTAAGCTCGGAATGGAACCCATTTGGAGTTTCTTTGGAGCCCCTCACGTTCATCTGCAAACCCCGATTTTCCGGCTCCCTATCATAATCTACCTTCGCTCGACATCCTGCTTTGGATGTCACCCCTCCACGCATGTTCCTGGAAAATAATGAGAGGCCACTCTCATGGATGGGCAAATCAGTAAAACCACGATGACTAATACAGCTGTGGAGACACACGCTCAAAAATCTGGAAAAAAATCGACACATTAGAAATTCTGCAAAACTGCATGTGTTTTAATATGCTCTGCTTGCAAAATTCCGAATAATTATACCACTAGGTACCGATTTTACTTCATCCGAAAAATGTGGCTCCGCATCCAAAAATTCACATCTTGCTCAGGTGAATAATTTTTTGTGTGTCAATAAAAACACACCCTAGACAGGAGGCATGGTGGGACATTATTCGTCTCAAAGTTTCAAATATCAATGCTTACCTTTTTAATGGCATATTCGAGTAGATAAAGGAATACGAGACCTTTTTTTTCAAAATTTCCCAAAACTAGATATTCACAGTGAAAGAATTACATTCTACCTATGAACATAATACATTTTTAATACGTAGATTCCGCGTTTAAGAAGGAGTCGGGTAGATAAAAGTACTTTTTATTTGAACAAAATAATAAGAATCTAGCTTGGAAAGATCAACAAAGTGAGGTGGACCCAATCAAAACAGCTCTACAATTTGCGTTGTTTTAATTATACGCCGCAATTTTAAAAATGCAAACATAGAAATCCTGGATTGCATCTTCCAGTTAATGTATTTCTCGCAAAATTTCACGAAGATTCCTGGACGAATCATTTATAGGATGAGAAAAGGTGATGAGAATAAGATCATCATACTCAAATTTCTGACGTCTAATATCGTCTCTTGAGCTGAAAATTCCTAGTGTAAAATATACCGGCAAGTTCCCAATTTTAACCGAAAAAATTGTATCAAAAGCACCGGTATACTTTGAATGCAGACACCATGGAATTTTCTTCTATAAGTTGTAGCTTCGTCAACTACAATCAGCTTTCAGGAAATTTGGGCAAAGTTTTCAATCTTCACCATTAGACAAACTCAGAGAGAAATTCCAAAGGTGCAAAAACATACTCCTAAGTTTCAGGGACTCTCTTACACCAATTAACAAGGATGCTTTTTAAGATGTTGGTGAGTTTCCGCGTCAATTAAGTAACGTTTTCAAGATGTCACACACGTAACGTCATACTTCGAAATCGAAGCTTGGATTTCAACTATTCTTGAAACAACACCTCAAAAAAATGGCCCAAAAAACTTTCACGGGTGATTAACAGATAATTTTTTGTTTCATTAAGAAATAAAAACAAACATTTGGCTAGTTTCACTCCTTATCAATTACCTTTTAAAATTATTTTAGTCATCCTCATATAGAGCTAAACGCTCTTCAGAAAAGGAACAACGATTCATTTAATTAACATGATGAGGATGATATGGGCAAAAAGATATATTGGAGAAATCTACGTATGACCTTTTTAACATACAAATTATTCCTTTCAGACAAAAGATAAAAACTCCTGGGCTGTTATAAATAATTATCTGCAGGTAAAATTTACCGTTTATTTCCTAAGCATTAGTTACCAAAAATGATATAAATTACCTCATATAGTATCGAGGTTCCTCTAAAGGCAACAATTGGACTTTTACGTTTTCTCTTTCTCTCTTTTGTCTTTTACTCTCATTAAGACGATTTCCTCTTAAGTTTATTCCTAACCTCGCATATCAGGGAATTGTTCCCAAGCTGAACTTGCAGACACTTCACTTCATTCAAAAATTCAATGAGCCAATGGACAAGGTGTACAAAATTCATTTCGCGATAGAAGGCAGTATTCGCCAAAATTTTGAAAATCGATTTCGATAGCACTTTGACTTTGAGCTGAAACAAAAATATTTCATGGTCTTTATCAGTTGAGCAATTTTATGAGGTACGAGTTTTGAACTTCATGTTGAATTCATAAATCAATAATGCATAACAAATAGACAAAAGAAAAAAAAATGCACCACGTGTGAAAATCGACTTGTTCAATCCAACAAAACATAATCCAACATATTTAAATTCAAACCTTGTCTTTTAGATCATTGAAAATGACACCAATTGAATGATAATGAGAGAAAGAGTAGTCCGAGGTAGACCAAGGGTCAAACTGTCAAACTCGCATTCTCAAGCACCTACTGAATGTGAAGAAAAAAATACATTCACTAGGTTGGAGACCCTGTTGCATAGTTAGAAAATTTGATATTTAAGTAGATAGTACATTAATATTAATTTAGTAGGTAAAATAATGTTTACATTTACACAGCCAGTCTTGGAACTCGTAGACATACTGGTGCGATAAAATGTTTTAACGAAGGAAAATGTGTGCCGTGTCTTATACTTGGGAAAATGCGAGCCTTTTGATTTTGAAAGTGATGAAGAGGGGCATTAATCAAAATTTAGAGTAAGGTTCGTCTATTCAAATTAACTTGATAACTTAACTTTCTAAAATTTCCCTAGGTTCATTTTTACGAACTTCTGAACTTCTTCCAATTTAGCAAATATTTATGAAACCTGACATATCGGTGCGCTTTAAACTCTGCAAATTTTGGTCCTCAAATTTCTCGAGGATTGAGTATTCGAGAATAAATATCACTCTAACATCAAGAACAGTTTAGTGATAATTCATAGCGGTGAGATTCCCTGAATGTTTTAAAATCTCACCATGTAGTTTTCCTTTTTTCCTACAACTCTACGGTTGCATTGAGCTCTCTTCACCCCGGCAAGAATAGTGGCAATTTATAAGTTTTCGAAACTTTTCCAAACATTTCCGAATCGTCCTTTATTTATTAATCAATAAAATTACATAGATTGTGGCGTCAATCGTTCCAAAATTGACGTATCTACCTACGAGATAATTGTGAGTATTTACTTTCAAGCTCCTCCAAAAATTTGCGTTATTGAATTCCACGATCCAATCGTGATGCTCTCAAGTATTGCATTATTCTTGCCAGGTTTTAACGATAAAAATTAAAACTATAGGTGTGTGGTTTGCGTACTTTAAAATTTGATAAAAATTACGTGATATTTTGTACAATTGATCCTCCTTTGTTATCACACGCTTATCAATGATTTTATGTTGGTGTCGACCAATATTCTACAATGTAACAGCTTCATAATACAGTCATCGAAAATTTTTTGAGGAAACGCAAATAAAGAGGCAAAAATGTATAAGAAACTAAATAGAAAATAATATATTCATAATTTGCTGTGTGTCATAAAACACCGCTTTCGTCATTAGCACAGCTCAAAATTTGGGTACAATGGATAGTTTTAGAACCCGAGTTGGTTCCTCTAAAATGTATTAAGAACAAAAATGGGTCAGCTAGTGATTTAAGGAAATAATAGTTGTTTTACTCTACTTTCCAAGCATTAAAACCCACAAGGCAGTGAAATTCCTCAACCCTTCTTCTTAATTGTGTGCCTCTAATGTCCAATTATCTAAAATTACTCTAATTCACCAGAAGAAAAATGACTGCGAAAAAAACCCAACTACAACAACAAATTAACACCCTGATTAAGGAGGGTCAATTTTACAAAAAAGAAAAAAATAAGTAAGTGCTCAGTTTTATCATATTTAAGAAAATTAAAAATCTTACTTTGTATTTATTTTATCTTTTTATTATAGGTTTCAAATGTCCTCATTTTAGGGAGGGAATACATTTAATGTAAATACGGTATTATATTTTTGTACATATTTATGATAATATCATCACGATTGATGAGTCTATTTTCAAATGAATTTTTTAAAATTAGACTTTAAGAAAATCTGTTCCAAAAGACTAAAACATAAATCGGGAAGAACATACTTACTTACAGTTTTCAATAGTCTATCAGTGCTTACAATAGTCAACAGTCTCTCTGGCTAAAATCCATAAAGCAGGAATTAAATAAAGCTCTGATGCTGTTTCTGTACTTCCTGATTTTTTTATTTCAATAGTGAAGTTATCTAGATGACGGGGGCCAATTTGTGTATTTCTCCATCTGCAGATATCTTTCTTTGTCACTGATACTAATTTCTTTGAGATTTACCTGACGTAGCGGAATATATGAGGTAAAAGAGAGAAACCCAGAAAATAAAAATCCTTCAATCCAGTGTAAAATACTCCAAAATGGGCATACTTCCTTCTAGATAGTTTCATCATCAAAATCAGAATATCAACACGTGCAGAAGAAAGCGTCTTCATGAAAATAACCATCGTAAAAAATCTCATCGTCCCATTTCTTACTTAATATCTTAATAGAACGCTGCAGGACTTTACAGCTGCAGTATGTCAGCATTACGAGGCCGTCATGTCGCGCCTAGTGTAAGTTGACATTCTTTATGACTTATCAAAATAAGAAAAAAATCTGCAATACAATATAGCTCGGGATAAGACAATTTCATCAGAAAATCAAGTTCTAAATACACATATAGGTCAAAATATGTATTCTCTGGAAATGATTATAAGATTCCAGATTTCGTAAGTGGCTTGTGTGACCCTTCAGAGCTCAAATGTTACTTTAATAATCTGATCCAGCACCGATATGATGCCATATTTGGATAGTACGTTTTGTATATGATAAAAGTATATGCAACACAACTGTTGTGTGATTTTATGTAGAAAATGTACATTTTTTTCATGCAGTTTGTTATTTTATTTTCATTATTTATTACCTGGCGGCAATCCCTCATAAAAATAAGTGAAAAAAAATATCCATCCAGTTCTCTCATTCACCAATCTACCTTCTTACTCTGCCGTGCTAAGGAAGAACGCCGTATGAACATTCGAGAATTGCCAAATGTCCTTCGATAAAATTTTCGACATTTATTTTTGAGGCAAGTTATGAATATAATTCCTTGAAATTTTCAGGAACTTTAGGTGAAATTGCGAATAAAAATATCTGAAAAATTGGAGGAAAAATATTCATATATTTAACATGAAATTATTGTTTTATCAAAGAAAATTTGGCAACGCCGGAAAGTTCATGCGGCGATTTTCCTTAGCACGGCAGTACTGATCTGTGAAGAAACTATAAAAACTCTCATCTCGATGCTAATGTTTCAAAAGTTCCTCTCCTACTTTAATGTTGTTAGAGAGTATTAATAACCATTTTTAAGCGACATTTAGAGGAAATGCTAATACATAAAATAATTAGAGAAACTCACGAGAAATTAAGTGCAATAACGATGATTGGCCATCCTTCAGCAGGCTGATTCATGAAATTGGTAGAACTCCGTGTAACGTGGTGAGCGAATACTGCCGTGCTAAGAAAAAACGTCGTACGAACCTTCAGGCGTTGCAAAATCTCCTTTCATCAAATACGAATTCTCAGGAAAAATTGGGAATATTTTCCGTTCAATTTTCCAGAAAATTTTCTTCGTAATTTGATCTATATCATCCGAAAATGTCTAGATCATTCATAACTTTCCTCAATAATAAACATTTTATTGGAGGAAATTAGGCAACTCTCGAATGTTCATACGGCGTTTTTCCTTAGCACGAAAGAAGAGGTCATCGATACTTGTTTCTTTTCATATCTTTGCGTTAAAGTCTCTCGATTTATCTGCGTTTGACTCAATATGAAATGTCTTTAAAGGGGCCGTCCCTAAATTACATAACGCTACAGGGGGAGGGGGAGTCTTTGCCAGCGTTACGCAGCGATACACAGGAGTGGAAAGGTCTAAAGCGAAGCGTTACGTAACTAGTTTTAGTGGGGTTTTTTCGAGTTTCTGTGAAAATTTTCGTCGGTCGTCTTTAGAAACTTTAGAGAATCTCGACAGTATTCTCTGCGATACTTCTACGATTCCTCACTGAATAGAAACGCAAATCCGTTCAGTAAATGTAAGGTGAGCGCGTGAAACTGGTGAGGGGTCCCTCTCCCCCCTCCCTTCTCGACTCTACCTTTTAAACACCTCCCTTTTTTCTTTTTTATGCCTTTTTACCACCCACAATCATAAACTCGATTCTTAACCTCTTATAAAATAGTTTCTATCCACACACACTAGTCTGCTAGTCACTAGTCACTTGTTGGCTGCAGGTGCCTGGCACAAAGCCATAAAATTCCAGAAAAAAGAAAAATTTAAGGCGCGATATTTGAATCATTTATTATCAAAATTTAGGGGGCAAGGGGTTTCCGGGCAAGCGCTACATAATTTTTAGGGGGTCTAGAATAGCGTTAAAGAGCGTTACATGGAGTAGAGGTGTCAAAAAACCGCAAATTAAGCGTTACGTAAGTCGGGAACGGCCCTTCGGGGTACTCTGTGTGGGGTTGGCAGCTTTTGTCATCTTCCCAACAGTGGCGTGGCGTGATTTGCGATTTATCGATTGATCTGCATTTAAACGGCATTTGCATTTGTATGGAAATGTATCAACAAACAGGTTGTGCGCAACGGACACCTAAATATTCGATTCTTTACCATAGCTGCAAATGGGGAAATATTGATAATTGGACGTATTTCCATCAAACGGAACTATGTGCATTTAGACATGAGCCCTGAGACCCATAAGAATACACCCATAACAGGGCTCACGTCATAATGCACATAGTTCCGTTTGACAGAAATACGTCCAATTGATCATTCACGCCTCGCCACTGCCTTCCAACGGATCGAGTAGTTCCGTAGACGCTCATTTGATTCATGAAACTGAGCCTTCAGCAGAGACGTAAAATGAGATTTCATGGAATGTAAAGTTTCACTTTACTGACAGGTGAAATTTCAATGATTTTTCAGGAGGTGCGACGCACAATGGGCCGAATCATTGGGAGAGGTTCAACATGAATTTTTTCTCTAAAACCGCAAATTCAGATGTTCATTTTATCAAATTTTAAATTTTACGGGGTTCCTCCTTTCGAAAATTTTACGAGAAAACCAATGGGACCATTTTCAAGAGCTCAACATTTTGTAAAAAACGGAGTTATGAGCATTCGAAGTTTTAAAATATGGTCCAAGCTCTCCCTTTGACTGGATCCACTGTGCGCCGCCGCGCTGACCGCTCTGCGTTTGACGCAATGCGTGAAGTATTCATGCAGTCTTGTAGGCGCTTATATGCGTGCCACGCCGATCGCCGACCGCACTGCGTATGACGCAATGCGTGAAGTATTCAGGCAGTCTTGTAGGCGCTAATATGTGCTTCATGCCGACCGCTGCGCCGAGGGCTTCTCCTTTTAATCCTCAGTCCCCGTCATCATTGCTCACTGCGCCGCGTCGCACTATGGATCAAAGGATAGGGCGGAGCAGACATAGGGTTACCGTGCGACTGTAGACCATCAAATGATGCAGGAATATCAGTTTCGTTGGGTCATTTTTCACGTAGAAGCTGAATTTTGTATTGAAAAAACGTTAAAGTCGACGGTTTGTATGAGAATTTTTTTTTTTTAATCTTAGAAAAATATGGGGAAAAAGTTCTTGCGGTATTCATATTACTGATCTGCACCTATAAAAACCCTGCGCCTGTGATTGTTTATTTTCATGTAATTTTTAGTGCTGATTCCGAAAATGACCTTAGTTTTTTCCCTATCCCCTCTTTTTCCCGAAAAATTAAGATTTTACTCCAGTAACAGATTTTCCGATGAAAATTCTATTTTCTGGGCAATTGGTGCGTGATAGGAAAAAACAAGTGTTGTTTTTGGATTTAGAGGCCCACCATACATTTAAGATTACGCATCGGATGCTTGAAAAGTGTTCTCTTCTATATCTGGTGACGAGGTTTTTTCAGTGAGCTGACATAATCCGTCCATGTATCTCAATGTATAGTTGGTTCGTTTATTTTTCATTTGAAAGGATGGCCAAATTCTTCAATTTAGGTAGTTAAGGTGCCTCTTCGTACGTATTTTTGGCTGCTAAAGCCGAAAATGGTCTATACTACAATTCACAACTCACTCAATTTCGAGCAGCTGGAGGAGCAGGCTGGTTTTAGAGCTGGCAGGTCCACGGTTGATCACTTGTTTGTTATTGTCCAGGTCATTGAGAAGAAAATGGCCGTATTTCAGGAGCTGCATTTAATTTTTGTGGATCACCAAAAGGCGTATGACAGTGTGCCGTTGGTGAAACTTTGGGAGGCCTTGGAAAAATCAAATTTTAACGAGGGGTTGATTGACGCTGTTAAGCGATTTTATAAAGGGAGTTTTACCAAAATTAAGGGGCATGGGGGGTCGTTAGCGGGATTATATGAGACAAAGGGGTTAAAAAAGGGATGTTGTTCGTCGCCGACCTTATTTAAAATATATCTCGAGTGCGTGCTAAGAAAATGGAATAGGAAATGTTCTGGTATGGGTGTCCCCTTGAGTGATTTTGAAACTCCGTTCACTCTGTGCTTTGCTGATGAACAGGTGGTGGCTGCTCAAGATCAAGATGGCGCGGAGTACATAATGCGTAAGTTAGTAGAGGAGTACCGAAAGTGGGGTTTGGAAGTCAGTATATGTAGGTATCCAGATCTGAGAAGATGACTTTGGGAGGTGATCAGCAAAGCATTGAGTTGGAGAATGGGCAGCAGATCAGCGGCTGAGCGGATCAAGAGTGGCGGTAGCCACCCCCGGTCGAGGAAAATGACGTCCTACTAAAGTCCCGACAACAAACGGGTGGCCGACACTCTTAGTCACAGGCAACTCCCTTAATATGAAAATTGATTCGGTTGGAACTCGACTGCAGCCCAAACGACGGCACGGATTCCTACGATCTTGGTGTCTACGGACGCATCTCAATTAGGACTACAAAGTGGAAGAGTTTCATTAAGATCCATTGAGTTTCCAAAAAGTTATAACCACTTAATGACCCAAAACGAGAAAAATTTTACTTTTTACTTTGCCGGGAAATTTGAATTTCAAGAGTCCAGGGTCCTGAGAAAGTCACTCAAACTCCGCGATAACGGTAAACCTTAGACCTTGTGTATGGAAAGGTACAAGCGAGTCACGCTTGTTGCGGAGCTCATAATTAAAGGGGGGAAAATTTCAGTTGACATCCTCGACCGATTTTGTGATTTCAAGTTCATTCGAGGGATTTATCTCAAAATCGGTTTTATTGTAACACTGCTTGTAACATGCCGACCGCCATAAGGTGACCAAAAACAGGGCACGGCAGGGGTATTTCTAGCGGAATGATAATTGAAATTGAACGTACTTCTGCCAAACGAAACTATGTACATTAAGACAAGAGCCATGAATTTCATGAGAATACGTACGTAACAGGGCTCGCGTCATAATGCACACAGTTCCAATCGATAGACAAAGAAGACAAACGGGCATTGTAGTTGAAGTTGAATTTCTACGGACGATTTGTTTTGGGCGGAAAATCCAGATTCAAGACTAGAAAGAGCAATGCAATCAGTCAATCACATTTTACTTGCTACCGATACATTCGAGTTCATTCGATGGATTTATCTCAAAATCGGTTTTATATTTATTTTTGGCAAAGGATTTATTTTTCATTTTATTTTTTTCCTTTCGAGTAAGTTTTTGGAACTTTTTGATAATTATTAGTCTTAGTGGACCTCAGGAATTCATCAAAGGTTTTTGCCTATCTTATACTTGATTAAAAGGAAGTGACACGTCAATTTCCTCGACCGGATTTTTTGCCCGAAGGGTTTCTGTAGTTTATCATAAATACGTGGGAGTGCGGTTGACCCAGGATGGAAGCACGGATCATGCTAGCATGAAAAGAAACATACCTTAGCAAGGAAGGCTAAAACCAATGTTAAATGGAATATTCTGGGAT